GGGAAGGGGGGGGAGGATGGTGGGGGGGGGGGGGGGGGGGGGGGAGCAGAGAGAGAGAGAGAGAGAGAGCCGTGGCTGCAGTTGGAACAGGCTTCAAAGGAATATTAATGTGATCCTGTGTAAGAAAAGGAGAAGATGAGAGGAGAGAAGAAAAGAGGAGGGGAGGGGGACGCGGCTCCCTCCCCACCTTCAAAGATCCACCTCGACACCTTTCTCCAGGTAAATCAGCAGATTTTGGCCTTTCATGGCTTTAGCCTCCACAGTCGGCTGAGCTCTGCACCATCTCTTACATCCCTGACAGCCGCAGTGAGCACAGAGCCGGGATTTACTCCGTGTCACGTCCAAACCCTCGGAAGGATTAGACTTTAATCTGATACAGTGAAACCCGTGACATTCCAGCCTTGGTTTGGTGAGTACAGGACCCCCGCCCCCACCCCGGGCTAGTCCAGTCGGACCAGACGGCCACCGTGGGAGTGACCGTCTGGTCCTGACAGGTGAGGAAGGTGAGGCTAAAGCTGAGGAGCCGCGGAGCAGCCTGTACACATCTGTGACCTTTGGTACAAACCATCAACCACGAGAGACTAGTGACTGAGTCTGAACACTAGCTAAGAGCTAGCAGGACGTTAGCCAACAGGTGCTAACAGTTAACAAGTCCTGAATAGTTCAAACTGCTGTTCACCAACTTTACAGTAAACAGAAAAAAATACATCACGTGTAGAAAATGTCAACGTCGAGGTGAACTTATATAACACCTTATATATTAATACTTTAATAACGTTAAGGAGAGGAAAGATTAGACGGCTAAGAATGTTAGCTACAACAGTGTGATATGGTCAAGGTTTTATGAAAAAGCTCAATAGTGTTAACAACGTGGCTTAAAGTAAGTCAGAGATATGTTTGATTGAAATACTGCGAGTACTTGTACAAGTAAACCCTGCACAAAAAAAAAAAATTATTAAAAAAAATAAGGCCAAAACTGAAGCTCTCATTGACAAAATGAACAAAAAAAAGAGAGAGAGAGAGAGAGAGAGATTAGAAGTACACGCAGAGAGAACTCGTCGACAAACACCTGAACACCGTCACCTCTGTCACGGTGATTATCTGTCAATTCACAGTCAATCTTCTGAAGCCGACGTCTGTATTGACTCATGTCGTGTCATATTTGCCTCTACCTGCGTGTGTGTGTGTGTGTGTGTGTGTGTGTGTGTGTGTGTGTTTAACTGCATGTCTCCAGGCTACAGCAGGAGGAGGAGAGCAGGAGGCCTGTGCAACACATCAACACACACACACACAGAGAGGAGGCGATGATGATGATGATGATGATGATGATCATGATGATGATGATAATGAAGGGGGTGTTTGGACGAGACGACTCTTCTGGAGGTGACGGTGGAAAAACTTCATCTGTTGTTTGATGTTTCTGACAGTGGTGGTTTACGTATTAAAGTCAGGCCAGTGTTATGTTTTGATGGGTTCAGCACTAGAGGACCCAGCAGGTGCATCAGCAACTTGGCCAAATAATAAAAAAATAAAAAATAATAAAGAAATAAAAACGAATAATAAAAAAAATAAAAAATAATATAAAAACATTCACTCAACTCAGGGACGAGAGTTTTTTTAAAAAATCAAATCACATCAGACTCAACAGACTGACGTGAAGAGTTAGCCACAGCTGCAGGCCACAGCTGCAGGCCTGTGATGTATTAGCTTAGCCAGCTAGCGTGCTCAGTGCCGTCACTCTGTAGCAGAGAGTATTCATAAACTGCTACGATGTTCCACTCAATCATTTCCAGGACATAAAGCAGTCAGTGCTCATTATCTCCACAGGAAACCACACTAATGGGGTTTTCCCTTAAAGCAGACCCTCACACACACACACACACACACACACACCATCACACACACCATCACACACACACACAGCATCATTCACTCTGTTGACAGACGTAGTTCATGGTATTCTCCAGTCTGAACATCCTCTAATGTTTGTTACTCACATGTGATCAAGTCAAACCAGTGTCAGCACCGAGACATAATCTGAGATTAGACGGGTGGGAGAGGGAGGGGGAGGGGGGGGGGGGTTGACAGTTTATGGTCCAATCAGGGTTTTGAAGAAGCCTTGAATTTCTTGATCTTAATTCAAGGCCTTAATTGGTGCTAAAAATGTCAAGAATCTGAGAACTCTCTCTCTCTCGTCTGAGGATTCTTGCTAAAGGAAACCCTGTGGCACAAACTGTGGTTCCGTCTCCCCTGGTGGTCCAGTTGACAGTTGACGTGTGTCGACCCAACACTCAAAACACAAAATGCAGTACATTGTACTCGCGAGCCAAGTACCAAGAGGGTGAAGAAAGGAACCAAAGTATTTGTCAAATTACGGGTGACGATTTATCTCAATTAATCACGAATAATCATGAGGTCAATTTTGACAGTGGTAGGACAGTAGCAGGACCCCCCCCCCCGCCCCGCCCCCGGCCCCCCCCCGCGGCCCCGCCCCTACCACCTGAGGCCCCGGCGTTTGATTCCACCTCGTCTCTAAATTCCATGTTCCGTTTGGACTGTGGGGAGACGAGCCGTGAGTCCAGTGACGCCTCGGACTCAGCCTCATCATCTGAGCTGTTCACTTAACATCTTGGAGGTCCCCCGTCCCCTTCATTTACTAACAGCTGTGTCAAAGCCCCCGGCCGCTCTGAAACACCCACGGAGGTCAAACAGCAGCAGACTGAAGCGACATCTGCAGTTGGCAGGAGCAGGATTCCTGCGCACCTACGAACCTCCACCAAACCGACTCGTCTCCCGCTTCACAGGCGTCTTCCATGTTACATGGAAACCCTGGGCCCCGGGCTGAGGATTAAAGGGGGGCTTAATGAGGAAGAGAAGCACAGATACACCTCCAGATTGCAACGGGGCGGGAGAAGACATCTAACCAGGGGGCTTTAAAGGAGGCTCGGGAAAAAGAAGGGGAGCTAAGAGGTGGAGCGTCGCGGTGAATCTCCAAATTAAAAAGGCAGCTTTAACTGAGTGGAGCAAAATATAGTAAGAGAAACAACAGAAAGATGAGCTGGTCTGATATAAACGCCCCTGTAGCTTAGCAACCCTGTTAATTCAGGCATGCAACAGTATCTGTCATCGGAGATGCACACACACA